TCTCGGATGTAGAAATGCCAGAGATGGATGGCTATGAACTGGCATCTCAGATTCGCCAGCACGAGTCGTTTTCCGACTTGCCGATCATCATGCTTGCTTCTTCGTATGGCTGCGAAGAAGCGGAGCAAGGAGTGGAACTTGGGGTTTCTGCACGACTCATGAAGCCTGTGAAGCAATCTGAGTTGTTCGAGGCCATGATCCGCGCGTTGGGATTGGCCGACTATCTCGAACAATACGATGTGGATTCCAGCTTTCAGGCCCCTGGCACTGAACGAATGCTGGATAGTACACCTCGCAAGCTGCGAATTCTTCTGGCAGAAGACAGTGTTCCTAACCAGAAGCTTGCGCTCGCACTGTTGGGGCTCGAGGGCCACGAAACCACCGTGGCGCACAACGGTCGCGAGGCAGTCGCTGCGGTGGCTTCCGGAGGTTTCGACGTTGTGTTAATGGACATCCAGATGCCGGAAATGGATGGCTTCGCAGCGACCACCGCGATAAGACTAATGGAGCAAGATGGCGACAAGCATGTGCCGATTGTGGCGATGACAGCCCATGCGTTGAAAGGCGATCGCGAACGGTGTCTCGAAGCAGGTATGGATGCCTATGTCTCGAAACCGATTCAACGACATGCTCTCGTTCAGGCAATTGAAGAAGCGGTGGAGCTGAAGGACCAACGTTCCACCAACGGGGAGCCGCCTGTCTCAGGCATTACACAAGATGATGGCTCTCCAGCAAAGATCGATATTCCGTGGGAAGAACTCCTGGAGACTGTCGGAGGAGATCAAGCGACGCTGTCGGACATTGTCGATGCGTATAGAGAGGAAACGGTAGAAGTCCTCGAGAAGATTCCTCATACAGTTGCCGCACATCGCAGCGCTGAGGCTCGCAAACTTCTGCATAAGTTGAAGAGCGTGCTACGGTTCTTCAAGCAGGCCGATCTTGCCCAATTGGCCCAGGAGTTGGAAACCCAAGCCGAGCAAGGACAGGTATCATCGGCTGCTTGTCAAGAACTGACTGTCGAAGCAGGCCTGCTGATAGCACATCTTGCAGAACGGCAAGCAACTCAACCAAGCTGAACTAGTTAGTCGCTATTCGATTCAGAGTCAGTACGTTCCGCGTGCGAGTCCAGGCACCCTTCGAGTATTGCCCACAACTGCTTCCATTTGAACGGTTTCGTTAGAAACTCGTGTGCCCCAAGGTTTCGCATCTGACGTTCGATTGCTTTCTCGTGTCGACCGGTTAGAACCACGACCGGGATGTCTTGTGTGACTGGAGACTCCTTCAGTCGACGAAGCACATAGTCGCCATTACCTTGCGGTAGTTCGTAGTCGAGAATGATCGCCTGAGGTGCTGTGAGAAAAGCCTCACGGTATCCCTCCATTCCGGCGGCCGCACGCAATACCTGTACGCCAACCTCTTCCAGCCTCATTTTGAGGGCAAGGGCCATGTTGTCATCGTCGTCGATGGAAAGAACCCAGGGCTGGTCGATTCGGCTTTGAGCGTCGCACTCAGTATCAACAACCAGCGAAGCACCGTCTTCCGCCTCAAGAATTCCGAAGAGAGTATCCATAGCTTCCGTCGTGTGATTGGAAGTCAGCATCGTCTTGCTCATGGAACCATTTCCAGGGTTTGGGGTTGCGATTACTATTCGCGAGAAGTGTATTTAGCGAGTTCGCACGCTCTGGTCGCACCTTAGCTACGTTTCTTCAGTTCGATAAAGCGACTGATGTGGTCGTGTAGCTGGCTGAATCTCAACGGCTTCCTTAGGAACTCGTTGGCGCCATCTTTCAAAACGCGACTTTTCAGCGCGGGGTCGCACATTCCCGTCAGCACGATGACTGGCACGTTGCTTGTTTCTGCGTTCTGGCGAATCATCTTCACCACGTAGCTGCCATCTCCGTTGGGCATCGCAATGTCGGTAATGATGAGGTCGGGGCGACAGTCAATTGCCTCAACGATTCCCTGCATGCCAAAATAAGCATGCTCCACACGGACATCGTACGCCTGCATTCTCATTTCGACATTGGTATGAATATTCGGGTCGTCATCAATGCAGAGGATACAAGGCGTACCCTCATTCTGTGCATGCTGCGGACAACTTTCGGAGGTAGGGTCGTTGGTCAATGTAGTCATTCGCGCATTACCCTCCCGAAAACGAATGGTTGAGATTGACAGGTATGAAAAGATCGAGTGCTACAATCGATAGATGAGAGCCCGTATGGACTCTGTCACTTTGACCGGATTTTCTGGCAGCTTTCGGCTGCGGGTGGAATCCTAGTGAAATGTAGCTCGAAGAGAGACTAGCGGCTCTGCCTAATCCGAGATGACGGTTGTGTCATTCAATTTCTACCTAGCTCTACAGGGCCGTTGAGAGTATAGGTCGCGATTCACATTAGGCAAATGCTCGATCTGAAAAAGCATGGAGTAACAGCGTGAGAGGAAGAGCTGATCTACACACTGCTGGACCGCACGGCCCCTGGAATGAACTTCAATAGACACCGGCACTATCTCACGATGGCGGGCTTGAATGCACTCTACTTTGCCACAGATGGGCTTGAGTGAACAAGAGAGTCGAGGCAGTCACTGACGGTCGGCCACTACTGGCGAGCGGCCTTGTTCGCGTTCCTCATTTAGGGGTGGACACCGGTCGGGTCATTAAAACCGCCTCATTCCACGAGCCCATTCTGTGGCGGCACGTTTGTTGTTGACCCGAACCGCCAAACGGCAAGGAAGGAGCTCACGCTATGGCTGTCTGTGTTACCGCCGCGTGAAACCGGTACTACGCCCACTGCGATACGCTGGCCTACAAGGCGATCATGTCGATGCCCCAGTTGACAGTGTTCACCGTGTTAGTGCATCGGGGTGACAGTGAGTGTCCCCGCAGAAGGCGAAAGTTAAGACAGGCGTAAGGATGGGCCAGAGCGACGAGCCCCCACGCCGGTCTGTTCAGTTCAATAGAAGCCGGTTATCCCAGAACCCGTTTGGAATCAGACAACGAACTGGCCGTCATCGGAGACATCGTTAACGGATGGGCAACTGAACGCGCTGTTATGGATGCGAGGAATTGTGTGATCGTTCTCGCGATGGCTGTGTTGGCTGATAGCGGCAAGTGCAGTTAATCGCGCAAGAAGAATAAGCAGATCATGAAGGCCTCGCGACGGAGCGTCATTAGCAATTTCCCCTAAAAGTACTCTATAAGTACGAGGAGCTCTGGAGAGAATTCTGCATGTGCCTCAATGCCAGCGTTGGGTAGATGATTGACATGGGTGTAGTACCCGCATGTCGCCCAACTGCAAGAGAAAAGGTAAGAGGGAACTTCCCTAAGTTCGAACGTGCACCTTCGCCGTAAGATCTGACGAGCATCGCCTTGATGTGTGCATCACTGTTCGCCGCGACTTATGTCGAAATGGGGCAGGGGGGATGTGCTAGCCGTCGATCCCGTGCTGTTTCATCATGCGATACAGCTTGCGGCGTTCGACGCCGAGGATTCTGGCGGCGGCGGACTTGTTGCCATTCTCTTTTTCAAGCACTTCCTTGATATGTTGCCGTTGCAGAGCCATTAACGATCCTTCTGAGGCATTGAAATCTGGATTGTTGATTGATGGCTGGGACTCGAATTCGTCTGGCAAGTCTTCGATTGTAATGACATCGTCCGCGAGGATTTGTGCTCGCTTGATGATGTTGATGAGCTGTCGAATATTGCCGGGCCAATCGTATGATGCGAGTGCTGAGCGAGCGGCATCATCCAGTTCGAAGGTGTCACCTAGAAAATGATCGAGCAGCAAGTTGATGTCGTCACCGCGTTCTCTGAGTGGGGGTAGGTCAATGGTTAAGACGTTGAGGCGGTAGTACAGGTCTTCGCGAAAGCGGCCTTCTTCGACTTCCTGTTTTAGATTGCGATTCGTGGCGGCCACGATTCTAACGTCGACGCGGCGTTCTTTCTCGGAACCGACGCGTCGCATCGAACCATCTTCCAGCACCCGCAATAGTTTTGGCTGTAGCGCGAGGGGCAACTCTCCTACCTCATCGATGAACAGCGTGCTTCCATCGGCCACTTCGAAAAGTCCCGGTCTTGCGACTGTCGCACCGGTGAAACTCCCTCTTTCGTGGCCGAACAGTTCACTCTCAACTAGCTGTCCCGGTAGTGCAGCACAATTCATCGTGACCATGGGACGCATGCATCGCGAACTGCCTTGATGGATTGCTTGTGCGACCAACTCCTTACCTGTGCCACTTTCACCTTCGATGAGCACGGCGTTCTCGGTTGGTGCAGCCCGGTCGATCAAACGTAAGACTTTCTTCATCGGTTCCGACTCGCCAATCATCTTCACGGCGGGGCGCTTGGTTCGGTCGATTACTTCGCGGAGTTGTGTGTTCTCCTTCCTTAGTTTTCTTCGTTCAAACGCACCAAGGCAGCGACGCTCTAGTTCATCCATTGGGAACGGCTTGGAAAGAAAATCGAACACGCCCCGACGCATCGATTCAACGGCGTTCTCGATTGTGCCTTCGCCCGTCAGTACGATAATCTCCGTCTCAGGGTTGAGGTCGCGCATTCGCTGGACTAGCTCCAGCCCACTGAGCCCAGGTAGATTCCAGTCAAGTACAGCAATCTCGAAGTCCTGTTTTTGGCATTGGTCAATGCCATCTTGACCGCTAGTGGTGTGGATTACCTGATGGCCATTCTTCTGAAACCAGCGGACGCATCCGGCCGCAAAATCAGCGTCGTCGTCCACGAACAGAATGTGGAGGGTCTCGTTGGCCATGAGTGCGAATGTTGGAGTCGAAGCAATTCACTGTAGAATTGCATTGTACTGAAAGGGACGATCGTCAGGCAGTCTGTCTGTCACTCTTCTTCGAATGCTAGTGCGAACGGGTTTGTGCCCGTACTGCGGAGGATCATGGATAAGACTCAAGACCTGCTCGAGAGCGATCTGCGGGGCCAGACTCGGGTACTAAGGCGTTTGGCTCAAGGAGCTTCGCTCGACGAATTGCTTCACACGATGATTGAAGTAGCTGAAGAGTCTCGGCCAGACATGATCGCTTCAATTCTGTTGATTGATGAAGAAACTGGCTGCTTGCGAAATGGGGCTTCACGCCGACTGCCGGACACCTACTGCCAGGCCGTCGAAGGCACGATTCCCGGCCCAGAAGTTGGCTCTTGTGGCACAGCGGCTTATACAGGCAAACGAGTGGTTGTTGAAGATATTGCAACGAGTCCGCTTTGGAAGCGAGGTCGCGACGCTGCGTTAAAAGCGTCTCTACGAGCCTGCTGGTCTGAGCCGATCATCGGCTCAACCGGCGAGGTGCTCGGTACTTTCGCGGTCTATTATCAAAATCCACGTTCTCCAGAAAGCAGCGAGTTGGAGTTCGTGGCCAGTTGTGCGAATTTGGCGGCGCTCGCCATAGAGCGGGTGCGTTCTCAGAATGCGGTCGAACGCGAACGTGCCATTTTGAAGACAATCGTCAATGGCATTCCCGATGCATTGATTTCCAGTAATCTCGAGCGTGAGATCACGCATTTTAGCCGTAGCGCGACACGGATCTTTGGTTACGAACCCCAAGAGGTGTTGGGCAAGACCACCGAGCTTCTGTATGCCAATCCAAAGGATTTTGAGCGCCTTGCCAAAGAGCGATTCAATACAGGACTTGAAGAGGTTTTAGAAGTGGTTGAGGTCGAGTGGCGACGGAAGTCTGGGAAAGCATTTCCCGGTGAGATTGTTGGGACGACAATCCGTGACGAACAATCCAAACCAATCGGCTACCTGGGGATGATTCGTGATATCTCAGATCGGAAGTGTGCCGAAGCCAAGCTTGCCGAGAGCCAAGGAAAGCTAGTACAAGCCGAGCGATTGGCGGCAATGGGGCAGATGGTATCGGCCATCGCTCACGAGAGTCGTAATGCATTGCAGCGAATTCAAGTGGGCGTGGATGTACTAAGATATGAAATCGAAGAAGGCTCAGAAGCACTTGACGATCTCGAGCGTATCATCCGGGCCAAGGCTGACCTGGAACGTCTTCATGATGAGCTTCGGAACTTCGCGGGCCAGATTCAGTTGAACACCGCCAGCGGCAACCTGGCCCAGGTCTGGCGACAAGCTTGGGCCAACCTGCAATTCCCACATGGCAGGAGAGATGCCCAACTCATTGAAGAAACCGAGGGCGTCGACCTATTGTGCGAGATTGATGCTTTTCGGATTGAACAGGTGTTTCGCAACCTTTTTGAGAATTCGCTGGCAGCGTGCAGCGATCCGGTTCAGATTACGGTGACTTGTCGTAATTTCGACATAGAGGGCACTCACTTCGTGTCTATTTCTGTCCGCGACAACGGCCCTGGCCTTCAGGATGAGATCCGTTCGCGTATTTTCGAGGCGTTTCACACAACGAAAGCCAAGGGAACAGGTCTTGGCATGGCAATTGCAAAAAGGTTCATTGAAGCCCACCAAGGCACCATCGAGATAGGAGATGACCCCACCGGCGGTGCAGAATTCGTAATCAATTTACCGCGAACGTAGAACACTGATCCCCTTTCGCGAGTGGGAGGGAAACCGGCAGCGGCTAAGAGAACCGCACGACCTTTGCTTATGACTTTCCGCCTGAGAATTGTGATCGCAGATGACGAGGCTGACATTCGGCACGGTTTCCGCCGCCTGTTATGCAAACTCGGCTGTGAGGTCGTCGGCGAAGCGGCGGATGGGCGAGAATTGGTCGAACTGTGTTTGGAAACGCAGCCCGATCTTGTCATCACGGATATTCGTATGCCGGAAATGTCGGGAATCGAGGCCGCTCGAAAGATTGCAGAAACGCGATCTGTCCCGGTAATAGTTGTCTCCTCTTATGAATGCCCAGTCGGTGAAGACTGCTCGGCAGTTGCCGATTTTCTGCTCAAACCTGTCAGCTTGCCAGACTTGGAAGCGGCTATCTCCAAGGCCTGTCCTGGTGCTTGATGCCGAGCCGCCTCACCATCCCTAACTAATTAGTATGCAAACCAATTAGAGAGCGAATCATCTCTCGGGGTTTGGAACACTGAAAGCCGAAAGCAAGCATTGCAATTGGGCAATTGCTGACCGGTTATTACGCGTGGAACGAGGCCATGCAGGCTGCGCGTATGTGGGCAACTACGACCTGCAAGTGTGCATACTTGGGCAAAAGCTGACGGACCAGATTGAATACTTGGTGCGAAACGCCACCGCAGAACGTTGGCACACTCTTTGCAGCCGATAATTCCGGAACCAAACCCGCCCCCTGTGGAAATACGAAGTACTCACTTGCTCTCGACATGTAGGTATTTCGGTCACGAACTCGCATCTGCTTTCCCGAGACACCCCATGCGCTACCTTTCCATCCCAATAATCCTGGTTTTCTTGACGGTCGTTGGGTGCAGACGTCAATCTATAGAAGGCCCGCCTCATGTGACTCCGATGATGACGGTGGCTCAACCCGTCGTGAAGCAGATCGTCGAGTGGGACGCCTACACGGGACGCCTGGAAGCAATCGATTTCGTAGAAGTGAGAGCCCGCGTCAGCGGCTACCTCCAGACGATTCACTTTGATGAAGGACAGATCGTCCGCGAAGGCGATCTCCTGTTCGTGATCGACCCTCGCCCGTTCAGAGCAGAATTGAACGGGGCGGAGGCTGCATTGCGGCAAGCGAGCTCGCAATTACAGCAGTCGAAGGCGCAGCTGGAAGAAGTAAAAGCCCAGAAGCTACAGTCTGACGCACAACTGACACTCGCCGAAGCCAGAGTTGAACGCGCCCGAGAATTGAGTGCACAAGACGCTGTAACCCAAGAAGAACTCGATGAGCGAGAGGCCGAATATCTGCAAGCTTTGGCCGATGTAGCCGCAAGCCAGGCAGGAATTAGCTCTGCGGGAGCGGCGATTGCCACTGCAGAGGCAACCGTCAGGTCGGCGGAAGCGGGTGTCGAGACGGCTCAATTAAATCTCGACTACACGCACATTCACGCACCAGTCAGCGGACGCATCAGCCGTGAAGGGGTTACCGAAGGAAATCTTGTCAGTGGAGGCAGTGCATCGTCCACGTTATTAACGACCATCACATCGGTCGCTCCGATCTACTGTACCTTTGATGCGAATGAGCAGGAGGTGCTCAAATACGTCCGCCTAGCGCTTTCGGGGAAACGAGCAAGCTCGCGTGTCGCTAAAAACCCGGTCTTCCTCGGGCTTGTGGATGAAGACGGGTTTCCTCATGAAGGGCACATGGATTTTGTGGACAACCGTTTCGATGCAGGGACTGGGAGTATGCGTGCTCGCAGTGTCTTTCCGAACGAGGATGAAGTGTTGATCCCGGGAATGTTCGCACGAGTTCGTATACCCGGCAGCGCGGCGTACGAAGCAGTCCTGATTCCAGATTCAGCGGTTGGTACGGACCAGTCGTCACGGTACGTCTACATCGTTGCTGGTATGAAGGTCGAACGCCGAAACGTGACACTCGGGCCGATTGTAGATGGGTTAAGGGTGGTTCGTGATGGACTTTCCGGCAACGAGTCTCTTGTTATCGAAGGCTTGCTTCTGGCGCGTCCTGAGATGGAAGTCAGAACAAAGGACGGCACCATCAAGGTTGTGGAAGACGGTCTTCCGGATAGCTACGAACCTCTGCCGCCGGAAATGTGGATTTCGCCGGAACCAGATCCGCTTCCCACTGGGGATGAGTCACTAGCGAGGCAGAAGACGAGCCGTACGGGGCAGGGGGGCGAAGCTCAATGAAGTTTCCGCACTTCTTCATCGAACGACCGATCTTCGCGACGGTTCTCTCTTCCTTGATCTTGCTCGTCGGCGGGATTACCTATTTTTCGCTTCCCACTTCGCAGTATCCAAACGTTGCTCCACCAACAATTGTGGTACGCGCGAGCTATCCTGGAGCGACTCCACAGGTCATCGCTGACACCGTTGCTACGCCGATCGAACAGGAGATGAACGGCGTCGATGACATGCTTTACATGGAATCGTCTTCAAGCGCTGACGGAACGATGCAGCTAACGGTGACCTTCAAGCTGGGTACGAACCTTGATGATGCCCAGGTGCTGGTCGAGAATCGCGTGGCGGTAGCTGAGGCACGTTTGCCCGATACGGTTCGTCAGATCGGCGTGATGACGCGAAAGCAAATTCCTGACATGTTGATGGTGGTTCACCTGACGTCTCCGGATGAAAGCCGAGACGATCTTTACATCAGCAATTTTGCTTTCTTGCAGATTCGCGACGCCTTGATGCGGTTGGACGGTGTCGGCGATATCCGAATCGCTGGCGGAAACGAATACGCCATGCGAGTGTGGCTCGACATCGAAAAGCTGACGCATGTCGAAATGACCGCGGGTGATGTCTTGCAAGCCATCCGCCAGCAAAACGTGCAGGTTGCCGCTGGTGTGATTGGGCAGCCGCCCACAGACCAGACCGGCGCATTTCAGTTGAATGTTACAACTCAGGGCCGCCTTACCGATGTTGAAGAGTTTGGCAACATCGTGGTTAAACGAGGCGAAGGTGGTCGCGTCACTCGTTTGAGCGATGTTGCCCGGCTGGAACTTGGCGCTCAGGATTATTCACGCTTGAGCTACCTCGATGGTAAGCCCGCGGTGGCCGTGTTGGTCTATCAGCGTCCTGGAACGAATGCAGTCGATACTGCCTTTGAAGTCAAGAAGACGATGGCGGCACTGCGGGAAGACTTTCCCGAAGGAGTGGACTACGAGATCGCCTACAATCCTACCGATTACGTAGAAGAGTCCATCCAAGAAGTATTCTTCACGTTGTTGATAACCACCGCGTTGGTTGTGTGGACCGTATTTATGTTCCTTCACAACTGGCGACCAACCATCATTCCAGTCGTTGCCATTCCCATTTCACTCATCGGCACGTTCGCCGCCATGCAGTTCTTGGGAGTGACGTTGAATACGCTGTCACTCTTCGGACTGGTGCTGGCCATCGGGATCGTTGTGGATGATGCAATCGTGGTGGTTGAGAATGTCGAGCGTCTGATTGCCGACGGTATGTCGCCGCGCGACGCCGCTCACAAGGCAATGGACGAAGTCGGATCGGCGTTGATCGCTACAACTTTAGTGCTGATCGCCGTATTTGTTCCAACCGTGTTTGTGCCCGGGATCAGTGGGCAGTTCTATCAGCAGTTCGCACTGACGATCTCAATATCGACCGGGATTTCGACGTTTGTTTCACTGACGTTGACGCCCTCACTGTGTGCATTGCTCTTGAAGCCAAAAAACACCAGCAATGAGAAAGCAGCAGCCAGACCTGGAAGACTCAAAGCTCTCCTGACGCTTCCGGCCCGACTTTTCAACCGAACGTTTGACTCGGCCAGTAATGTTTATGCGGGAATTGTGTCGCGCATCGTACGGGCGTCAGCTGTTGCGCTGCTGGTCTATGCCGGATTGCTCGCCTTCACGTGGTACAGCTTTGGGATCGTCCCAAATGGATTTATCCCTGAGCAGGATCAAGGTTACCTCATTGTCGCAATTCGTCTTCCTGATGGGGCAGCGTTATCGCGAACGGATGAGGTGACCAAGCGTGTTGCGAAAGTAGGCAGCGAAATCGATGGTGTGGCCCACGCAGTCGGGATTGTTGGTCTCTCCGGCTCGACTTTTACGATCAGTCCGAATGCGGCCGTTTCGTTTTTACCACTTCAAGATGCCAAGGATCGGGCCGCGCGTGGACGCGATGCCAACACCATTGCCGCTGAAATGCGAGCTGCTGTGAGTGACATCAACGAAGCTGAAGTGTTTGTTATCCCGCCTCCACCGGTCCGCGGCATTGGACGCGGCGGTGGCTACAAGATGTATGTTCAGGACCAAAGCGGGGCTGGACTCGACGCGCTCAGCCAAATTGCCGATAAAATGGTCGAGGATGCGAACGGACGGCCTGGGGTGGAACAAGTGTTTTCGAATTTCCGTCTCAGCGTCCCACAAATTTACGCTGACGTTGATCGTACGAAAGCTCAGATGCTTGATATTCCTATTAGCAATGTGTTTGAAGCGTTGCAGGTTTATCTGGGGTCAAGCTACATCAATGATTTCAACATCCTTGGTCGGACCTATCGAGTGACCGCACAAGCGGAGCCCCAGTTTCGAGATGAACCTAGCGACATTTTACGTCTGAGAACTCGTAGTGCGAGTGGCGAGACGGTGTCGTTAGGGAGTATTGTCGAAGTAAAGCAAACCGTCGGTCCAGACCGGTTGGTTCGCTACAACCTCTATCCATCTGCGGATATCAACGGGAATACCGTTCCGGGTTTCAGTACCGGTCAATCGCTCTCAACGATGGAACAGCTCGCCAACCAGAATTTGCCCCCCGGTTTTGGATATGCTTGGACCGAGATGGCCTATCAGGAGAAGCAGGCTGGCAACACGATCTTGTTTTTGTTCCCGCTAGCCGTCTTGTTCGTTTTCATGACATTGGCAGCTCAGTACGAGAGTTGGCTGTTACCTTTGGCGATTATCTTGATCGTTCCTCTGTGTCTGCTGTTCGCAATACTCGGCATTTGGTTTCGCGGGATGGATAACAACATCCTGACTCAAATCGGATTCATTGTGCTTGTTGGGCTTGCCTGTAAAAACGCGATTCTGATCGTCGAGTTTGCAAAGCAGCAGGAAGACTCCGGCAAGAATTGCTTCCAAGCAGCGATTGATGCCTGCCGTCTTCGGCTTCGCCCCATCCTAATGACAGCCTTCTCCTTCATCCTTGGCGTCATTCCTCTGTTGATTGCCACAGGGGCTGGCTTCGAAATGCGTCGAGTGCTGGGAACCGCAGTTTTCAGTGGAATGCTCGGGGTAACGTTCTTCGGTTTGTTCCTGACACCCGTGTTCTACGTTGTGATACGACGCATCGCACAGCATGTGACTGCAACTTGAGTAGTAGTCGTGAAGAAGTCATTTCGCATGTCGATCCGGATAGCCCCAGTCAGGCTACGACGCTTGTCGCTTTTCTGGTGAGTTTTGACCTCAGCCCTGATACTCTCATCTGGAGCAAATCGAACTCGTCGTGACTTGTCGAATGGGTAGACGCATTTTTGGAAAGTACCTCATCCGAGGAGATGAGGAGTAGGAATCGGAAGAGATTGTCTCGAAGGTTCGTCAAGAGGAGATGTCTCTGCCTTAGGTTATGAGACGAGACTTGTCGGCAATGCAGACAGATGAGACGTCTGTCCGAAAATGCTTCTGAGAATCTATATGCGGCGAACGGTTGCCAGATTCTAACCCGTTCTCACGGATCTTCTGGGGGAGGTATGAGGAGTTGTTGCTCTTGCCGAGAAAGTCGTTGACAATGTTCGTGTTTAAAATTGATGCTATCTCTTGGTTGATTTCAAGGATGCGGGGCGAACGCGGCAATGTCATTAACGACCAACAAAATCACGGAGCTTGCGCCTGATCAAGCTTCGCTCAATGCTGCCAACAAGTTAATAAAGCCGAAAAAGTGGCCCACGCTCTCTCAGCACGGTGATCTAGTGTGGGGCGAGTGCCAAGGCTCTGGAGCAAACCCTTACCGAACCGTCTTCGACGACTCGAATGCTGGCTACAAATGCACGTGCCCCTCTCGTAAGTTTCCTTGCAAACATGTGCTGGCGCTCATGTGGATGTACGTGGAGGACCCTGGACCATTCACTGAAGGCGAATTGCCCCAGTGGGTGACCGATTGGCTAGGGCGACGCCGTAAAACGGGAAGCGATTCTCCCCAGGAAGAGTCGAAATCTAAGCCTACCCCCAAGGCTCGCGAGAGTCTGCTGGCAGCGCAGCAGGCAGTGACTGATAAGCAGCCAGATCCCAAAGCTGAGGCAAAACGAAAAGCGGCTACGGAGAAGCGTGCTAAAGCCACTCAACAATCGATTGCGGCTGGAATCGACGATTTGCAGCAGTGGCTTAATGATCAAGTCCGAGGTGGTTTCGCCGCGTTCTTGAACGACCCGAACTCGCGATGCCGAACGATAGCTTCACGTTTGGTCGACGCGAAAGCTCAGGCCTTGGCGAGCCGCCTCGACGAGCTACCGTCTCGCTTGATGCAAACTCCCAGTGATTCTCGGCTTAATCTACTGATTCAAGAACTTGGTCGGATTGTCCTGATCTGTCGTGCTTGGAAAGCGAACCCAAGTGACCCTGAGCTGACCCGGCTGGTGGGAAGTAGCGAGAACCGCGATTCGATACTGCAATCGAAAGAGGCGATTCGCCTGTCGTCGACTTGGGAAGTGGTCGGAGAGCAGGTAACGACCCGACGTGACGGATTGGTAAGCCAGGCGACTTGGCTCATGAATCTGGGTGAAGGCAACCGTTTCGCTTTGTTGCTCGACTTCTTTCCGGCTTCACTTGGCCAACGAAGCAGCGCCTTCGCGGTCGGTGAAAAAATAGCAGCGGAACTTGCCTTCTATCCAGCTCGGCAACCGTTGCGTGCAGTCATCGCTGAACGAAAATCGAGTAGCGAGGACAAAGACCACGACATCAAAGAGAAGAAATGGCCGGTTGCAGGGGAACAACCGCTGGGTACATACCGCGATGTTCTGCGACATGCGCCTTGGACCGGCGAGGTTCCGTTGTTGCTGCCCAGTGGGCGAATCGCCCAAGCGGGCTCAGGCTACTGGTGGGAGTCTGAAGATCGTTCCCTAGTACTTCCGGTTGCTGGCACACCAGCGAAACATATTGCGAGTATCGCCACACACCAATCAGTGGCGTTGTGGGACGGTATCAATCTGACATTGCTCGTGGCTCAGTCCGACTGGGGTAGGTTGTCCTATGGCGAGTGAGTTGCTCAAAGCTCTGGATGACGTGAAGGGCCGCTGGATGATGGGGGGGTCGGCTTTGGAGAAAGTACCCTCATCTTGGCGAGCCATCGCTGAGGGCGACCCAAGTCCAGATTTGATTCTGCTGGCATTTGCCGGGCAGGCAATGCAGGTCGCTTTAAGATCGACACCCGGTGGCGAACTTCAGCCATTGGCGCCCTTACCCCGCTTGAAATTGCCGGCACTACCGCCACAAGCTCGACAGCAATTCCGCAATTTGGTGCGAGTAATTAAGCTTGCCGAGTCGCAGATCGCAGTAGTTACCCACTTGTTGGCAGCGCGCGGTTACGTCATTCATCCGACCGACTACATGCCGAGAGGCTTTGATCAGTTGCCGGATGTCTACTCACCGTGGGCATCGTGGCAGCGAGTTGAGGAAACGAGTCAAGTTTCTGGCGAAGACGACAGAATTAACGCAGACAATTGGGAAGGCTGGATGCCTGCCGAGCGTCGTGTTGCTATATCACGTTTACGTCGTGAACAGCCCGAGGATGCCCGCGAACTGGTAGCTGACAAAGTGCCTTCACTTCCGGCGGAGCAGCGTTTGCAAATCATGGAGACGTTGGGCGAGTGTTTAAGTGCTGAAGATCAATCGCTTTTGGAGGGGTTTACGAACGATCGTTCGGGCAAAGTGCGTACGTTAGTGGCACAGTATTTGGCGCGGATGGGTGCCGTGGAGGACGAGGTGTCGGAAGTCACCGAGTACGCAGATTTCTTTTCGGTGGCAAAGAGGCGTCTCCGGGGCGGATACAAGATCACCGCCAATCGACTAAAGACAAAAGCCCAGCGCAAGCGTCGCGGTGATTTGGCTGCAAAGCTGAGTCTTCGCAGTTTTGTGCAGGGTTTGAACTTGGCCAATGAAGTCGAGTTGCTAAGCAGTTGGGAGCACGTTGACGAAGAAGCAACTGATGAACTCGTGCGAATGACTGCGGCGACCGGAAGCGAGCAGGCAGTGTCCATATTGGCATCACGCATCACGGCATTTGATGGAATCACAGCCGAGTCTTTCCAACGCTTGTTTGACCGTCTAAGCACGGAGGCCCGCCGCGACTATTTGCCACAAGTGCTCCAGAACGACGATCCGAACTTTTCCGCTTCTGTTGTGTGTGCTCAAGGCCTGTGGGGTGAGATTCAGTTCGCTCAACTGAAATCGCTACCTGCATTGAAAGAACTGAAAAAGCTCGCTGGTGAAGATCACTCCACTAAAACCGTGCGGCATGAAATGCTTCGTAAAGGGCTTTTCTCGCTTGGCTTACTGGCAGACCACTCAGCTGCGAATGAACTCTTGAAACTGTTTACGGACACCAACCTGTTTTCATCTGACCCAATGCTTGGCTTACTCAAACTGAATGCGTGCTTACCACCAGGAGAGCATCTGTGACTGAAGTGTTACGCGAACCGGTCGAGAAGACCTACGAAGATGATCTTAAGGTATTGAGGGCTAGAGATGATCGCCCTAAACCAACGGGATGGGTGCTCAGCCCTCAAGCTGTGGTCACTTACATCATCGGTGGCAAAGTAGGGAAACACCAGATTCACGCGAAGTATGTCGGTGATCGGCGCATCATTGAAACTGCGGTGGCTACGTTAGCGACAGATCGGGCGTTGCTGTTGATGGGCGTTCCAGGAACCGCTAAGAGCTGGGTGTCAGAGCACATGGCGGCAGCGATCAGTGGAGACTCCACTAAAATCATTCAGTGCACGGCCGGCACCGACGAAAATCAGATTCGATACGGATGGAATTACGCACAACTACTTGCCAAAGGTCCTAGCAGGGATGCATTGGTGGCAACGCCCTTATTCCGCGCGATGGAGAACGGTAGTCTCTGCCGCTTGGAAGAACTAACGCGAATGGGATCCGATGTCCAAGACACGCTGATTACCGTTCTCTCGGAAAAAATGTTACCGATTCCCGAGTTGAACGATGCAGTGTATGCGAAGCAGGGATTCAATGTTATCGCAACGGCAAATGATCGCGACAAAGGCGTCAATGAGTTGTCGGCCGCTCTGAAACGTCGCTTTAATGTCGTTGTGTTGCCGTTGCCAGACGATCTTGATCAAGAAATTCAGATCGTCACAAGGCGCGTCGGCGAGATGGCTCAGTCTTTGGACCTCCCGGAGCCAAAGAATGTTGTCGAGGAAGTTGCTCGGGTGCTGGCAATTTTTCGCGAGTTACGAAGCGGCGAAACGGCTGATGGAAAGACAACTTTGAAAAGCCCATCGGCGACGCTTTCCACGGCCGAGGCGATCGCGGTCATGGTCAGCGGATTTTCTCATGCTGCCTATTTCAACGACGGTGTCCTTTCGGCCGAAGGACTTGCTCCAAATGTGCTTGGGGCAATCGTGAAGGATCCAGTTCAAGACAAAGCCATCCTAGAAGAATACCTGGAAACGGTTCTGAAAAAACGCCGCGACTTCGCTGACTACTACAGCACATTGACTGAGTTAGTATGATGCCAGGTGAAGTGAACTACTTCGGCATACGACATCACGGTCCCGGATCGGCACGTCGATTGATAGAGTCGCTCGATGCATTGATGCCGGCCGAGATACTGATTGAAGGTCCTTCCGATCTATCGGGCTTGATTCCGATGTTGGCCCAGAAGGACATGGTGCCCCCCATCGCCCTGTTGGCCTATCCAACCGGCGAACCCGAACGTTCTGTGTTTTGGCCGTTCTCCGTGTTTTCGCCTGAGTATCAAGCGATATTGTGGGGGGCGAAGAACGATGTTCCGACTCGTTTTATAGACCTGCCTGTTTATTGGCGGTTTCTTGAGCAAACTGAAATCGTTCCTGAGGCTGTTGCACCTGAAGACAATAATTCAAGCGATGAGAGCAATAATACTTCTCAGACGGATGCTCCCGTGAGTCCAATTGCTCGAGTCGAGAAGGATCCGATTGGGGCACTTGCTTTTGCAGCTGGCTACGAAGATGGAGAGAGTTGGTGGCAGCATGTGATCGAGGAAAACCCCGAGCCGGGACCGATTTTCGTTGCAGTCGCCGATGCAATGCGTACTCTGCGTGAAGACCTTCCGCCACCCCGGAAAGAGGAGGCGGCACGTGAAGCACATATGCGGCGGGAGATCGAGAAATCGCGCAGACAATCCGAAGGTCCCATCGCTGTCGTCTGCGGAGCTTGGCACGTACCGGCGTTGACCGAGAAGCACGCCGCCAAGGATGACCAGTCATTGTTAAAGGGTGTGAAGAAAAGGAAGGTTTCTGCAACCTGGACACCGTGGACTGCCCCACGCTTGGCTATGTCGAGCGGCTACGGTGCCGGCGTCGCTGCACCCGGTTGGAATCGGCATCTGTGGGAAACACCACGGGAAGAACAGTCAACTCGCTGGATCACTCGAATCGCTCGCTGCATGCGAGCACAAGGCCATGTCGTGTCGACCGCATCACTGATCGAGACTGAGCGACTAGCGGTTTCCTTGGCAGCGATTCGCGGGCGTCCGCAAGTGGGATTCGAAGAATTAACCGATGCAACCGTGGCCTGCATGTGCTTTGGAAATCAAAGAATATGGCAGTCGGTCGCAGCAGAGTTGTTGATCGGCAGCGAAGTGGGCAGCATTTCTGACGGCGTGCCTCTAGCACCCTTACTGGAAGACTTGCAGCAGCAACAAAAGGCTGCGCGGCTAAAGCCCGAAGCACTGGAACGCGAATTGTCCTTGGATTTGCGAAGCGAGAGCGGTTTATTTCGTTCAACTCTCTTGCATCGGCTGAATGCACTGAATGTACCATGGGGAAACTTGAATGATCCGGGACGTAGCCGAGGAACATTTCGTGAACGTTGGGTACTAAGATGGGAGCCGGAGTTCTCTGTCGCTTTGGTTGAAAATTTAGTTTATGGAGCCACAATCGCACAGGCTGCAGCAGGCCGAATCGTTGCTGGCTTGAAGGAAGCAAAGAAATTGGGCGAGTTGGCGAACTTCGTCTTTGAAGCTTTGACTGCTCAACTACCTGATGCTGCGGCTAAAGTAAGTGAGGCGCTCGAGCATCGTGCGGGACAAGCCACCGAGTGCCTGGAACTGTTGTCGGCCTTGCCGAGAATCGCGGACGTTGTGCGTTACGGCAAGGCGCGTAAAGTCGATACTGGCCAGATGGCGGCTTTGTTCGACCGAATTGCCGTCGGGGGCTCAATCGCACTTCACCATGCGGCCCGCGGTCTGGACGATGAAGCGGCGGCCATGCTGCGGGATTCGATTCGTGAGGCCGATCGTTCGCTACAGTTGATTGAATCTTCGGCAATCGAGGCATGGTTGGATTCGCTTCGCGAAGTTATAGACGATGACCAGGCGACACCACTGGTAGCCGGACAAGCAACTCGCTTACTGTATGAGGGCGAACACATTTCCTCTGAAGACGCTGTCAGCTTGCTGGCTCGTAAGCTTTCGCCCGGCACGACAACTTCCGAAGCGGCGGGTTTCTTCGAAGGGGTCTTGGAGGGAGCCGGACATCGTCTGATCCACGATGAGAAACTCCGTGGTTGTGTTAGCGAATGGATTATGTGTTTGGACGAGCAGACTTTCGTCGAGTCACTGCCACTGTTCCGACGAGTGTTTTCGAACCTCGATAAGATGGAACGCCGCAGATTGTTGGACGCAGCACTTGGTCGACAGACCACTCAGACCGGATATCAAGTAATCGAACATGTAGACGAAATATGGCCTCAGCAGATGGAGCGAGTCGCAAAAATCTTGACTGGGGAGGCTTTCGATGGATGAGCTGCAGCGCCGCTGGCAAATGATGTTGGGTGGTGAGTCGATGGGACTGTGTGCAAGAGACTCACGCATATGCACGGCACTAGATGCCCTATATGAACCGCATGACGGTTCCGAAAGCGGAAAAAAGGGGGCACGCCGTGGTGGACTAGGGCAATCCGCACCGCGAGTGGCGAAATGGATGGGGGACATCCGCGAGTGCTTCCCGACTTCGGTCGTCCAAGTCATTCAAAAAGACGCGTTCACACGGTTAGGCCTGCAACAGATGTTGCTCGAGCCAGAGTTTTTAGCAGCCATGCAAGCGGACGTGAACCTGGTCGCAGACCTGATGAGCTTGCAGGGCATGATGCCGGAAAAAACGAAGCAGATTGCTCGCGAGGTCATTCAGAAGGTTGTTGCGGAGTTGATGGAGCGACTCGAGCGGAAAACGGCCGAAGCACTGCGGGGTGCACTTGATCGAAGCAGACGAACGACACGACCTAGGTCTGTCGATATCGATTGGCCGAGAACCATTCGTGCGAATTTGCATCAGTACCTGCCACAGTATCAAACAATCGTGCCCGAACGGCTGATCGGGTTTGCAAGAAAGCAACGTCGACTGGTTGATTTGGACGAAGTGATTTTGTGCGTTGATCAATCAGGGTCAATGGCACCCTCAGTCATCTACTCGTCCATCTTTGCCTCGGTGATGGCGTCGTTGCCTGTTGTACGAACGCAACTGATTTGCTTTGATACTGTGATTTTGGACTTGACCGAAAAGCTCTCGGATCCGGTGGAAGTTCTCTTCGGCATTCAGTTGGGGGGCGGTACCGATATTAATCAAGCGGTTAGCTACTGCTCTGAGAAAGTCCAACAACCTCGAAAGTCGCATCTCATTCTGATCACCGACCTCTGCGAAGGAGGGAACGCCGACGAGCTCATCACACGTTTGGCCAGCCTTGTCGCAGACGGTGTAAATGTCATCGTCCTACTAGCGCTTAGCGATGAAGGACGCCCCTACTATGATGCAGAGATGGCCAGCACTGTTGCCGGAATGGGAATTGCTGTATTTGCTTGCACTCCCGATCAGTTCCCCAATTTGATGGCCTCTGCACTTCGCCGTGAAGATATTTTTCAGTGGGCTGCTGGTGAAGACCTTAAAGTCATCGTACCTGGGGAGCAGTCTTCGTCGGAAGACTAAGCTGAGTATCGGAGTGATCACATCGTCCATCACTCATGAGCTCGACATTGTGTGCCAAGAAGATACCCTGGCTAAGTTTCGTGAGGAAGAATATCGTGGTCGCAATGTCAATTGCTGAGAGAAGCTGTCTGCCGCACTCATCAGAGTCTTTTACACGATAGAGTTCGGCTTAGGTGATACTATCAATTGACCGGTTGTGATCCAGCAGGACTGGTCATACGGCATCTTCTAGTGGTAAGCCACGGGCAAGTTGAACTGCGGATCGGTGGATTTGCAACTCTTCAGTCCGGATCAGCAACTTCACCGTAGCCTATTGGTTGCTGCGTTCGGCCAAGGGCGTTTCCCCTCCTCCGCGTCTCATAGACTTGATGCACATGATGGCTTGAAACTCAAAGAGCATCCGTGACGTAGTTCGACTGGACGCTTGCTCCTAGTGCCACGTGATGTCGAAACGCGTTACCGACTCGTAGCCTCCAGGTGCTTGGGACCGCAACTGAAGTGATGTCGCACTAACTTCATTACTTCAGTTTCATCGAATGGCTTGGTGATGTAGTCATCTGCCCCGGCATCGAAGCCGGCTTGCTGTTCAGAGGGCATTGCCTTGGCAGACACCATGATGATCTTCGTTTATGACAAGCTGGGTTCACGACGTAAGAGCCTGCAGGTATCACACCCATCACGGTCGGGCAACATCACGCCCAAAAGAATGACCCGTGAACGAAAGCTTTTCGCAACTCTCAATGCGTCCCGCGACGTCGATGCCATGCGAAGGATGAACTCATCACCGAGTAGCTCCTCAAGAATCTCCAGATTGATAGGATTGTCATCAACAGCCAAGAGTTTGCGACTAATTCCCATGAGCAGGCTTCTCCAAGAGATTAGAGGCTTTGTGTTGAGAGCAATAATTCACTCAGTGATCGGTTATCATCAGCATCTGGCGAGTCTGCCTGATCTATGCATATTTCCTCACACTCTTGAAAGCTCGATTCAAACGCACGCACCACCGCAGGATCAAAGTGATGACCACCGGCCTTGCGAATAATGTCACGAGCACGGACAGGAGTCATTTTCTCTTTGTATACTCGTTGAGATGTAAGCGCATCGAATACATCTGCTAATGCAATAATTCTCGCTGGCAAAGGAATGCAAGCTCCGCGCAGAGCATCCGGATACCCGGTTCCATCGATCTTCTCATGGTGGGAGCGCGCAACGATTGCTGCCATCTTGAGAAATCCTCCATGGGTGTTCTGACCGATTGATTCTTCAATGATCTGAGATCCCAAGACAGTATGCTTCTTCATAATGTCGTATTCATACGGTGACAGAGGGCCAGGTTTCTTTAGGATACCGTCGGGAATACCCACCTTCCCTACATCATGCAGCGCACTCGCACGATCGAGACTAGTCAAAAAGTCATTGTCGATGACTTCTTCAAACCCGTGATAGTCGCGGAGATGCTCCGCAAGAACCCTGCTGTACAATCGCATTCTCCGTAGATGCCCACCTGTTTCGGTATCACGTAGGCGCGCCAGATTCACGAGAACAACTTCGGCTAGATCCTGAGTGTGCCCGATGGTTTCACGCAATGACTCAACTTCTATTGCCGTTCCCATGCGGCATAACACCCTTATTTTGGCCAACACTTCTTGTCCCTCAAATGGCTTGGTTATGTAGTCATCAGCGCCCACTCTGAATCCTCGGAGTCGATCGGCCAGTTCAGTCCGCGCGGACAACATGATGAGTTTCACCCCATCAAGATGAGGCATTTGTCGAAAGTATTGGCAAGTCTGAAAGCCATCCATACAAGGCATAGCGACATCTAGGAGCACAATGTCAGGGACAAACCATTGGGCTATCTCAATCGCATCCAAACCGGATGATGCGATTTCGATATCGCATTCTTCCTCGAGTATCTCACGGAGAACATATTGGTTCACACAATTGTCATCTACAACTAGTACTTGATGTTTCATAGTGCGCTTTCTTCCAGTGCAACTGAGACAAGTGATGTCGGTGGACTAAAATCGTGATGTCTGTCGGACTTCGAGAACTCGAATCCACGGATTAGTGGAATTGCAAAAGCAAATATGGCACCCCCATCGGGTCGATTCCCGCCACGAATTCATCCGTTATGCAGTTCGACAATCTCATGGCATATGGCTAACCCAAGACCGGTTCCCCCTGAATTGCCCTTTGTATTGGAAGACTGAACAAACTTGTAAAAAATGTATTCGATTTCGTCCTCCGGAATACCAGGGCCGTGATCGTAGACTGAGATGACGGCATGCTCGTGAAGACTGGATATCACTACATCAATTTCGCTATTGTCCGGGGCAACACGTAGAGCATTGCCGAGTAGGTTGCGTAGGACCTGGGCAAGCCTCTGATGATCACCTCTAACAACTAGAGCGCATCCCAAAACATGGTTTTTGCTAGCTGAACACTTGTGGTTGGTGTTTCGTAGTAGGGTTGCTCTGTTGAAAACAGCTTTGGTTCTCTATGATTCTGTTGACGGTATCAAGATTCAATCGCCCAAGGAGGGGACGCGATGGCCGATACGGCTCAACGAAGGATGACGAAGTCGCCGGTGCGGCTAGCGCGAGAGGCATTACGTATCGGCGAAGAGGGCTTGCCGAGTTACTCGGCGGCGAAAAGTCCGAAGAAATTCACGCAGCCGCAGTTGTTCGCCGTCTTGGTGCTGCGGCAGTTCTTCAAGACCGACTATCGTGGCATCGTTGCGTTGCTGGAAGATATAGGCGAGTTGCGCGAGGCGATCGGTCTCAAACGGGTACCGCATTATTCGACGCTTTGTTACGCCGAAGCTCGGCTGCTGAAAAAGGGGCGTTCACAAGCTTGCTTGCAGTCGTACTTCAGCGCGCAGAACGGCTCGGCTTGATTGGTAAGAAGCCGGACGCGGCCGTCGATGCGACTGGTTTGGAAAGCCGTCATGCATCACGACATTACGTGTCGAGAGCGGGCCAGAAGCGATACCTGCGCAGCGATTGGCCAAAGTTGACCGTAGTCTGCGACACGGCCAGTCACCTCATCGCCGGCGCGAGCGTGGCACGCGGACCAAGCCAAGACTCACCCGACTTCTTTCCGGCGATGTATCAAGCGGGTTGCCACGTGCGTTGGTACCGTGTGTTCGCCGATGCCGGCTACGATGCCGAGCACAACCACGAGTTCTGCCGTGATGTGTTGGGAATGAAGTCATCGATCATTACACTCAATCGTCGCAACATGGGCCGCCGCTGGCCACTCACGAAGTATCGACGTCAGATGAAACGCACGGCGTATCGCCGCGACTATGGCCAGCGTTGGCAAGTCGAAAGCGTCTTTTCGCGTTACAAACGCCTGCTCGGCGCCGCCCTTCGCGCCCGCACCGATGCCAGCCAAGCCCGCGAAATGCTACTGCGAGTGCTGGTCCATAACCTGATGCTTCTCAGGCGTGTGGGTTGTTTTCAACAGAGCATAGTAGGGTCTGAAAGGAGACCCTTCAATGATGGACCGATCCCGCTGTGTTGCGGGGTCCAGGATGGAGCCCGAGACCGAAGACCTGCAAGCCGAGCTCAGCGACGAGCACTGGCTGCTGATCGCCGACCTGTTCGAAAACCCTAAACCCAGCCCGAAGGGCGGCCGCCCGATGGTCGACCCGCGAGCTTGTTTTGAAGGTGTGCTGTGGATGCTCCGTAGCGGCGCCCGCTGGAAAGATCTGCCGTCGCGTTTTCCATCTCGATCAACGGTCCATCGCCGGTTTGTCGAATGGGTTGGCGAAGGCACACTTGATCGGGCGTGGAAGCGTTTGATGCGGTTGCTCGATCGTGAAGGCAAGATCGACTGGCGGGAAGGTTTCGCGGACGGGACGTTTGCTCCGGCAAAAAAAGGGGCGAACGCGTCGGCAAGACCAAGCGAGGCAAAGGAACCAAAGTCATGGTACTGGCCGACGCGCGAGGCTTGCCCTTGTCGATCGACGTCGCTTCGGCGAGCGAAGCCGAGGTGAATCTCGTCGAGCCGCTGCTGAACATGGCCGCGACGCGCTACGTCCCCAACAAACTGATCTACGACAAAGCGGCCGACTGCGATGCATTGCGTGATCGGCTCGCCCGGCGAAACATCGACCTGATCAGTCCGCACCGAAAAAACCGGGTCCGACGGAAAACGCAGGACGGTCGAAAACTCCGCCGCTACCGTAGGCGTTGGAAGATCGAACGCACCGTCAGCTGGCTGCACGACTTCCGACGACTGCTCGTCCGCCACGAATTCTATTGGTCGCTCTACCAAGGATTCTCCAAACTCGCCTGCATCATCATGGCCGTCCGAAGGTTATTAGATACGCTCTAGTCTGATGTGTCGCTGCCAGCTCACGAAAAACCAAGGAGCTAAAGCGCCCACCACTCCAATTGGAAACAGGATCCAGATGGAGAGGACACTCAATAATCCCAGTCCAGCGGTGAGAATCGGGACGACCAGCGAGGATGCTAGAAGTTGCCAGCCTGTAACAGGCACTCCGGACTGCTGCAGATGCATGTGGAATTGATCACGCCAGTTCGCCCGTGCTGCTGTATGACTCGCCATCTTCCTAAGATCACGAAACAGGGGGGAGGCTTTGTGGCTGTCTGATCGTTCTTCGTCGAACGTCTCCGACAGGCGCTGCGTGAGCTCTGACCGATAGCGGAAGAATATGTCATAGACGAGCGTTGCAATGCCGCCCACCAGCAGGCTAACCGCAGCGAAGGTTAGTACGGTGATCCAGAAACTCATGCTGTACTACCTCGCAGCTACGCGATCTAAACGTTCAACTGGGATATCCCGACGCTCGAACATCGCGGGGGATAAGAAAATGCCGGCTCGTTCCAGCCGACGCTGGCAATGAGGCCGCATCCCCGTGGCACTAAAGGTTCCCTCGGCTTGGCGATCTTCATTCATGCCGGTTTGCTCGAACACGAACAGATCGTGCATGGAAATTGCGTTGCCTTCCATACCTGTGACCTCGGAGATCTGCGTGATCTTCCTGGCCCCTCCAGGCAGACGATTGGTTTGAACGACGATGTGAATGGCAGAAGCGATCTGACGATGAATGAACCACATGGGTAGTTCAGGTGCAGCCATGCCAATCAGCATTTCCAATCGGCTGATTGCATCGCGGGTATCGTTGGCGTGAATCGTAGTCAGGCTGCCCTCGTGACCGGTATTCATTGCCTGCAGCATGTCGAAGGCTTCAGCTCCACGACACTCGCCTACGATGATGCGATCGGGCCGCATACGCAAAGCGTTGCGGAGCAAGTCGCGCGCAACAACTTCCCCACGTCCCTCGATGTTCGGCGGACGTGTTTCCATGCGTGCCACATGTGGCTGCTGAAGCTGCAATTCCGCTGCATCTTCGATTGTTGCTATGCGTTCGTCTTGGGGAATGCATCCGGACAACATGTTCAGAAGTGTTGTCTTACCGCTCCCCGTACCGCCCGAGATGATCATGTTCATCCGAGCCCGCACGCAGGCCGCCAGGAATTCAAGCATCTCTGGCGTGGACGACTGACGGGCGACTAAATCTCGAGCCAACAGTGGAGTTGCCGAGAAGCGTCGAATAGAAACCAACGCCCCATCCAATGCTAGAGGATGGATGATCGCATTCACACGACTACCATCCGGTAGGCGGGCGTCAACCATCGGGCTCGACTCATCAATGCGACGCCCGACACGGTTGGCAATCCGCTGCACGATACTGGTGAGGTGATCCAGATCGTGAAAGCGCACGGAGGTGCGTTCGAGTTTCCCGCGGCGCTCGACGTAGACCGTGTTCGGGCCGTTTATCAGAATGTCCGACACCGTGGGGTCGAGCATTAGCGGCTCCAAAGGACCAAGCCCGAGTGCTTCGTAGATCAGTTCGTCGATAAGTCGATCACGTTCGGCCTGACTTAATAGTTCTGTCTGCGAGCGACACAGCTCACTTGCCGCCCGACGAAGCTCTTCCCGAAGACGCTCGGGGTGAACTTTCCGTGCCGCGGCAAGATCCATACCAGCGATCAGTCGCTCGTGGAGCTCTCGTTTCAAGCGGATGAACCGCTCTTCGTCGCTGCTCGGCGTTGGACTCGCAGATTGTAATCCGAAGGTTGATTCCATTTGTAATCTCAGCAAACATTAGAGGAATTCCGAGTTACAGGAGCCAGCTAGCCGCTCCTGTGAGTGAGGCTTTCATTGCTTGGCCCCATCGACGAACGCCGGGAGCTGGTGTTGCCTCAGGGACTTCGCCCGTAATCTCGTCGACGATTCGTTCGATTGCCTTGGTAAATGGGGCCTTGGGGTATCGAGCAACCGTTGCATGACCGAGATTGACTGCTGGAAGAATGTGATCCGGGTCGTCGGGAATCTGGTGAGAGATTTCTGCGCCAAGGGCCTTGACCGCCTTATCTCGGGGCACGTTGCTCGACCCCCCACAACGGTTCGCGATCAGTACCATTCGCTCACGTCGAATCCCGGAGTTAAGCAAGTGCTCGATGTATTTGCGAGTTCGCATTAAGGCCGGGAACTCAAGTCGAAAGACAACTAGAACATAGCTGCTACTTGAAAGCGTCCAGAGTTGATCTCGGTGAATCACGTCCTCAAGATCGACGACAACGTGTCCAAAGCTACCACGAGCCATTTCAACGAGTGCCTGGATCTGTTGAGGACTGGCGTGCCTGACACTGTTGAAGAGGTCGGGGCCGGCAAGCAGGTTGACACCGCCGGAGAGTTCCGAGACCGATTGCTCGAACATGGCGCGATCGATTGTTGTGGTCGAACCGAATAGATCAGCAATCGTGTGCACAGGGGTGGCATTCAGCAGGGCCGCCAAGTCACCACCCTGAAGTTGCAAGTCGAGCAGTCCGCACAACAGATTTCGTTGTGCCAGCACTGCGGCAATATTTGCAGCTACAACGCTGGCACCACATCCTCCGCTCGTACCGATGACGGAGTACAGATCCCCAGTTTCGCGAGCCGAGTGCTCTTTATCCGGGGTGCGCTACACAAGCGTTTTCAGCTCAGATTCGAAATCAGGACCATCTTCCAGGTAATCATCTGCACCTGCACGAATAACCTCGAGTATTTTGCGTGCATCACAGTCCTGACCAACCGCGACCACAGTTGCGTCACATCCTCGCACGGATTCAATGGCTCCCTTCGCTATCGCGGAGCTGAATTCCGAAGCAATGAAGAGAATGTCTACTCCCCTGGTACAGTGGTCGCCGTTTTCGATAAGCAAATTGAGTGGCGTGATTGAATCCGGGGAGCACGCGATGTTACTGGCTTTCAAACCCCGACAAATGCGATCGGTCAGTGCAGGAGAGTCGCTGGCCACAAGCACACTCAGGGTCGAGTTGCTATGTGGTTCGGACACTGAAGTAGATGACTGAGCCTCTTGAGCTAATTCCGGAAAGAGTGACCAACTCAACGACGGGGAAGAGCCATTGTTCTCATTAACGGCTTTTTCCTGCATGCTCATTGCGGTGTCCGACATGACGTTCTCCCGTTGCCCCATCGTCACTCTGTGATTCGTTTCGTATGTATCAACAAAAAAAGCCTCGGCTGCGCACAGGTTGTGCGTAGCCGAGGCGATCATGGCCTCAATGAGCTCAGGATCGTCGTGGACCCTGGCTTGGATATTGTGTTGCCGTGTGATAGGCCACTAAAAGCCTACTTCACCAAATAGATAGCTCGGCAAATGCAACAGCGAAAGAGTTGAAGGCGCGAATTGAAGCATGTGGCGGCAAGGCGCCAGCGGGCAATTGTGTGCAATACCGCACGTAGTGAACCTTAAGAGGCGACTTTGCGTCACACGCCCGTTTCTTCACCATGGTTTTTCTAGAACCTTAGAGGGGTGAAGTATATTCACGATAGCAATAGGAGTTTGAACGGAAGACCAAAGAAAAATGCCTGAGTCACTGGACATTGCGATCGCGGACGACGAACCAGCCGTGCTGGAATTCCTCCAGGAAGTTCTCACAAAGCTTGGTCACACGGTCACAGTTTCATGCGAATACGGCGATGACTTGCTGGATCACTGTAGACGGCAGGCTCCGGATCTCATCATTACAGATATACGCATGCCGAGAATGGACGGACTCGAGGCGGTCTTGGAGCTGAACTGTGTGTGTTCAGTCCCTGTTATTGTCGTGTCAGCTCTGGTTGACGACGTCAGCATGGAGAAAGCTGCGGAAGCTCAGGTGTTAGCCTACCTATCGAAGCCAATCAAAGAGCGCGATGTTGCTCCGGCAATATCTATAGCTATGGAACGCTTCAATGAGTTGCGATCGCTCCAAGAAGCTACTACCCACCTTCAGAAAACTCTCGCTGAACGGAAAGTAGTGGAGCGAGCAAAGGGAATCCTAATGAAGCACGCAGGATTGGACGAGGGCGCCGCTTTTGGTCGGCTCCAGAAGATGGCGCGTGATCGCGGGCAAAAACTCATCCAAGTTGCGAATACCATCTTGAATGCAAGTGATGCATTCGCAAGGTAAAGGGCCGCACGTGGGCCAGGTTCCAGATTTGTAGTAAGTAATGATTGGTTGGCTTTGTCGGTGGCGGACTTCTGCATTCTTCAATAATTCGAGTCATACCACTAGTCCGTGCTCTAGCTTACTTACGAAGAGCATACTTCTTATAGACACTTGCTTTCTCGTTCCGGATGACTGGAAATGCAGCTTCAGATCCACACCAAAACCAAGCCAAACCCTGCCGCACCACTGACGGGAATGATGATCTCCCTTGTTGAAGACTGTCCGCAACAAAGCAGGATCTACACCCGATTCCTCGAAAAAGCTGGTGCACACGTCCTCACTGAGAGTGATGGCGCGTCTTTAGTTCAACTAACATCTACTGAACTTCAGACTCTCGACGCGGTCGTACTCGATTTCATGCTGCCCTATGAGGACGGGATCGATATTACAAAGCACTTGCGAGGCTTGGGATATCAAAACCCGATTGTTGCCATCAGCGTGTGTGATGAGCCCGATCTATGCCAACGTTGGCTGAATGCTGGCTGCGACATATTTCTTGAGAAGCCGTTTACACGAACCATTCTGATCGCCACGATTGTGCAGTTGCTCGAGGTATCCAGGGAGATGGCCAGAGTCTCAGCCACCGCATCCCTTTCGCGGACCAACGCCTCTGTCTCCCTGGTATGTCACGACTCATCAAAGTGAACCAGGACGCAAGAAGACTTTTGCGTGTGGCAGTTGTACAACCGTGACCAGTTGGCTCCTCTCTTTTTAGTTGGAAAGCGCCGCTGAAGGAGAAGTGGCGCTGTAGGTGGATGTCAGTATGAGCGTTTCACACAGGCCCAAGCGATAGGCCAAGAAGTGTCACATAATGCTGATCGTCAATCGCGCAGGGTTAAACTGTTGTGGGAATCTGGTTCTGGGGCCCTAACTGCTGCGGCGGCGAATGCGTTTTATGGCAACCATCAGTAGTGCTCCACAGGCAGCCAGGGCTTTCGTCGTCGGCTCGGGAACAGCTACCGTCAGCGCCTTCCCTCTCAGGTCGAAGTACAGCGTTCGCCCTGCGTTGCCGAAAGCAGCACCCTCATCGGTGACTAGCCATAGTTGCGTTGTCATATAGCCAGAGTACTCGAGGGGGCTAAACTCCAGGCCAAGGTCAAAGCTCTCGCCGGGGCTTAGCACTGTGCCGGGCGTGAAGTTGGTAAGCCTGAATTGACCCGTGTCACCACCGACAAAATAGGCATCGACGAGGGTCAGGCCTACGAGACTCTCGGACCCACTGTCGGTGGTAATGTTCTGCACCGTTAGAAACTGGGGAGAGCTTACTTCATCAAGGTTGACCTCTCCGAAATCAAAGGGGAACTCCTCGGGGAGCGACGCTGCTAAGTCAAGTGGAGTCGTGTGGGCAATGGGACCAACCGCCTGCCCCGTAAGCGTGAAACCGACGTCGTTAGCGAGGTTCTGCCCATCAGCCGAGCCGTTGAGAAACTGAATTTCAAAATCGTGGCTTTCCGGGCCTGAACGAGAAGTCGGATGATAGGTGTATCGTAAGTCGAGCGATGTCGCATCAACCATGCTGTAGTTGAAATTGGGGCTGTCGAATGAACCACCTGATCCCCCAGCGAAAAATTGCAAGTTGCTGACAGCCCCTAAGCCCGATAGATTCCCATCGCCCACATTCGCGACGGTGACCGAAACGGTTGACGTACTTCCAATGCGCGTGAGGCCAAATTGTTCGGAGGCATCAACGGTGGCCACCGGGGCAACGCCGCGACCTTGGAGCGAAGAGTTCATGTCCCCAGCGTTGGTGCTGACACCTGTGGTGGAAATCGACTCTCCGCGTATGGTTGGCGAGAAGGTGGTCGGTCGAATGCCCGTCTCGTTTTCACTCAGTACGAACGGCAAGTCGGCGAGTGAACTGAACGGCCCTGACGAGAGTGGCGCAAACGATCCGGTGAGCACACTTCCCAAGTCACCGACGTTCGTGACAACATAGTCTTGTGGGCTGGACTGAGTACCAACAAGCACGTTTCCGAAGTTGAGCGAGGGTGTGACATCAACTGCCGAGTCGGCATACGAGATGATGAGTTTATTGGACGCGACGAGATTGGAGTTCGTCGTGAAGCCAAAAAGATATTCTTCACCGGGTGGTGCCAATCGATTGATCGCCCCACCTACGGCGAACGTGCTTCCTGCCGCCGTGCGAACATCGCTCGCGAAGGCATTGGACAGTCCAATCGCAACCTGCTGGTTCACCTGCGTTGAGGAAACAGTGGTACTGCCGTATACGCCGGATGCGGTTCCCAGATCTTCGAAAACTTCGGTGCGATCGGTACCTCCTTGCAACAGAGACGAGACGCTCGTCTGCACCTGAGTGACAAACAACTCAATCGAGGGCCCGCTGCTACGATATCCGTTTGACGGATTGAAGACTGAGAGGGTGCCTCCAAGAATAGTACGGTTCGACACGGCGACTGACTGCGGTATAGAAAACGCAAAAAAATCTCTCGTTTCAATCCAGCCCGCGGTTGGGAACGTGCCATTGTGCTCGCCAATAATGTAGTTTGTGCGCGTTGGATCATGAAAGCCGTTGTTATTGTACCAGCCGGCATCGAAGGCGTCGAGGACGATGGTGCCTGCAGAACTGATCGAATTACTCACCGTTACGGTGAACATCAAAATGGTCGCGACGGCGATTCTTATTGAACATGCCCGGAGATGACCGTTCATCATTAGCGTTTCCTATTAGGGTGCGTTTAAACGCGAGAGTCCATCTGAGTCGAATGCGCCATCGATCAACTGGTGGCGACAAGTGTGAATTCAGTGACGGCGACACCCAGTGAGCTAAAACAGTCCAAGATGTCATGTCCAACATTATTCGTTTCAGGATTTCGATCCAAAAATTCTTTCCGAGGGCTTGAGAGCAGTCCTAGCTTCCCTCAAGCAGTGCGACAGCGAAGGCGTACACATAGAACAAATGCTAGAAGACCAATTCCCGCAATCACGAAAGACGATGGCTCAGGAACAACGGCAACCCACGCTTCGGTATTGCCTTCCGGATTTCTGCCGTAACCTACAATCGTGCGTCCGTCGGCGGAAATGCCTTGGGCAAAAGTGAGGGTCCACCCCGATAGATCGAGCCCCCAGTCTATTGTGAGAACGTCCTGCAAGTTCCGCATGCCGTTCTGCTCGTCCCACATGAATGCAGCAGAGCCCGAACTTGTCGACCCATTGCCGACGATAATCGATCCATCACTAGAAGCAGCTCTTGCAGTGCTCTGAAAATATCCTCCTGGCAAATCTCCGAGACCGATCATTCCATCAGTGACCGTCCAACGAAAAGCTTCGTAGCCCAACGAAGTGTCGCTATATCCAAAAACAACCGACCCATCAGCAGATATGCCTTGAGCTTGACTATTAAAAGACCCGCCTGGCAGATCACCGAGTCCGACCAGCCCATCACCAGCAGTCCAGCGAAAGGCCTCGTTACCCGAGGCTGAATTTGAGGTTCCCACGATAATGGAACCATCCGCGGAGACGCCTGCTGCAACGCTGTAATAGCTGCCGCCTGGTAAATCCCCTAGGCCAACCATGCCGCCGCCATTAGTCCAGCGAAAGCCTTCCGTGCCCGCGCCAGAACCTCCGTATCCCACGACGACCGAACCGTCGGCGGAGACACCTAGGGCAGCACTGTAGACAGCTCCCCCGGGTAGGTCGCCTAGTCCAACCAACCCGCCGGCGGAGCTCCAGCGAAACGCTTCAGGCCCGAGACTTCCACTGCTGTATCCCACGACAATGGATCCATCAGCAGATACTGCAGTTGCAGCGCTTAGAGCAATCCCACCCGGGAGATCACCGAGTCCAACCAACCCTGAACTGGAAGTCCAACGAACGGCTTCATACTCGGGGCCTGGTACTCCGTTTCCCACGACAACATTCCCATCGGCAGAGACACCCTGAGCAATGCTAGTAAAACCTGCTCCAGGAAGGTCACCGAGCCCGGTAAAGCTGGGACCGCCGAGCGCGACTGACGTTAACAGAAGCGACGCGATCGTTGTCGCAAGAAAAACTGTGGTACGCAACATTAGCGGACTCCTAGCGGAAGCTTTTTTGGCTCATGAAACTCTTGTGAATGTGATCAAGCAGCACGGCAACGACGCCGTGCGTGGAATACGAGAACTATCAAACCAAGTCCGGATAGAACGAAAGACGATGGCTCAGGAACTACGGCAACCCACGCTTCGTCGTAGCCATTCGGGTTGATGCCATGACCGACGATGGTGCGTCCGTCGGCGGATACACCGTAAGCTTCTTGTAAGGCCCAGCCAGTGAGATCGAGACCATACTCGAGCGACAGG